ATATATAAATAACTGTTCGTTAAATCAGTATATTCTTTGCTTTCTTCGTTCATTGTTTAAATAAATATAAATAATCAACATTGCTCTTTCGATCGTTAATTAAACTTAAAAATAATCATTTTGAAAATAATTAAATAAAATTATATTATTTTAGTAACAAGTTCATCAAGTTTTAGTCCGAATGATAAAATTCATTGACGTACACCAAGCGAAGGAACACAATTAGATCGTCCTGGAGCACCATCACTTCTTATATCAACTTCACCAACAGTTCAACCACGACAAAAACTTTCCTTTCCATTATTAATAACAAATAATGAACAAAAATTTTCGACGATAATGGAAGATAAAACAATTGAACATGAATCAACAACAGATTTGTCAACAGATTCAACATCAACGACAAATGATGGTGTTAATGTTGGAAAATCAAATAATAATCGAATATCTTCTTTTTAGGAATAGCACATTACCTTCACCTGGGATACAACTGATTTCTAGTCTTTTATCATCCGGTGCTTATTTTATTATTATCAGTGACTTATTTAAACTAATTTCATTAATTATTATCTTTTCTTTTCATTTCATTTCGTTTCGTTTTTTTTTCTTCTATTTGATCGATTCTCTTCTATACATATATATGTCGTGCCGAAGTTACACTTCTTGCCGAAGTTAGTGTGAATGATAAAATAAATATCAACTTTCAAGAAATCAACAATATCTTTTATGTTGTATCTTAAAAATTATTTTTTTCCATCAAAACAATAATACAAAATTTATTTTTCAATATTATGACAAATATACTAGCGTTTCAGCAAGAATGAATATTCATTCGACTTGTACTTTTACGTATTGACTGCGATACAGATGAAAAGGAGTTTGGTAGATTGTAAAGATACAACAATCATCTATGAAACTCTAAGATTATATAATATATTAATAATTTCAACGCAGAAAAAAATTAACATATTGTTCCTTTTATTCGTCTGAATATTCGCACGTTTGTCATAATATTGAAAAATAAATTTTGTATTATTGTTTTGATGGAAAAAAATAATTTTTAAGATACAACATAAAAGATATTGTTGATTTCTTGAAAGTTGATATTTATTTTATCATTCACACTAACTTCGACAAAATATGTTTGTCGAAGTTAAACTTCGACGAAACACATTGACGAAGTTATAACTTCGGCAAGAATAATCGTCGAAGTTATAACTTCGACAACATCGTCCGTCGAAGTTATAACTTCGGCAAAAATTTTGTCGAAGTTATAACTTCGGCAAGAAGTGTAACTTCGGCACGACATATATATATATATAAATCAATACATTTCTACTGTTTATAATCAAATGAAACAAACGATTCACAGTTTTTTTTTAAATTTAAATCATCAATAATAATTGTTCTTTTAATGATAAAATTTGTCATTATTATAAGATATGATCATCATTGAACATGTTTAGACTCAATCAATAATTTAAATATTCTTCTTGTCGAATTGATTCTTTTTCATAGATCAATATTTTAATTGAATATTTCACTTTTTAAACATTTTTCAAGGGGTAAACAGCAGACTTGGAGTAGAAACGTACGTCAAAGTAACCTCTAGTTCAAAAGTCTGCCGTGTCTTTCTTGACATTTTTATTTAGAATTTTTTCTTTTAATTATTTATTTTTATCAATATTTCAAGGTTCTTTTAAACAAGTTTAATTTTTACTTTCGAAAAGATTGTCTCTTACTTTTACATAAATTAATTTTCTACTGTAAAACATATTTAAAAATCAGTCTTATTCTCACAGAATCAACATGTATTATGATCGAAACTTGAAAAAAGAGAACGAGAATCGATACATCTTTAATAATATTCAGAAGAGATGCAGGAAAACTTATCGTATCCTACTGAAAAGTACCACCACCTGCTCGTACTTCTCGATCTGGATACGGAAAAAATTTTCGTTTTAACTTTTTCATGGTAGTTTTGTTGAATCAAGAATTCATTTATCATTATTATACAAATTGTCTTCATTTTTTGCTTTATAAATACAAATGTTTCCTTGATATTTATTTGAATAATGTAAAAATTTCATCTATATTTATTTTTCAAAACTAAATAATATGCTTATATGAATGAATTTTCACTATTTAGTACAATTGGGATTTTACATCTATGGGCGTAATAACTTTCCTTTTTGTTCAA